GTTAGGGGCTCACCTTTTTCCCTGAGTAGTTGTCCAATGTCACTTTTCCATCTACAGGAGTGATGCCAATCCGTGGCCACAGGCTTTCTTCTGCCCCTTTTCCTCACCGTGGGAGGACTCTGACTTTCTTTCATCTCAACAGCTGTTTACACTTTTTTACCCCTGAATTGTGGGTAAACAGCCTCCTGTATTAGATAAAGGCTTTATCAACTCACTGGCTCATCCCCTCCACACAACCTCCAGTGCAAGTCTGCGTCGGGAGTAAGCCAAACTTGATGACTCTCCTGGCTCCTTCTTTTGCACTTAATTGGAAGAACCTTGAGTTCAAAGTGTGGGTGCCCAGCCGTCTCTGGCGTGCGTCGGCTGCCACCTGCTGGGAAATCCTGGTATGGCCTGGTCTCCTCGGCCGACAGGCTCGCTCGCTGGGGGAAGAGGTTCATTCACTCAGCCAACAGGTTTTCTGGAGCAGGAAATATGTGTCAGCCAGAGTCCTAGGCACTTGGAATGATTCAGTGAACAAAACAGAGACCCGTATACCTGATTTTCTGGAGCTTATCATTTTTCAGAGGGTGACAGGCAATAGACAATATCACAAATACATGATACCATATGTTAGGAAGTGATCAATATGTGGGAAGATTTTTTTTTTTAAGTAGAACGTGTAAGGGGGGTTGAAGTGCTCAATGGGGGAAGGTGAGTTGTAAAGAGTTTTCAGGGTCAGCCTCATTGAGAAGGCTGAAGCTTTTTGAACAAAAGCTTGAAGGAAATGAGGGAAATTTCCGTGGAGGAAGAGTGAGGCTGTCTGGGGAGATGAGAGTGCAAAGGCCCTGGGGTAGGAATGTGCTCGTGTCATTCAGAGAATACCAAGGAAGCCTATGGTGCTGGAGAGAGTGGGCCACAGAGGAAAGGTCACGGTAGCGATCAGAAAGAGGGGAGGCCAGAAGGTGCAGGGTCTCGTGGGCCACGTTTAAGGGCCATGACTGTATTAGTCAGCTTGGTCTGCCATAACAAAATACCAGCTACTGCTGTAACATTTAGTTCCTCCATAAGAGAAAACCTGGTGGGCGTGTTGGCTCACACCTGTAATCCCCTTTGGAAGGCCAAGGCAGGTGGATCACTTGAGCTCAGGAGTTCGATACCAGCCTGGCCAACATGGTAAAACCCTATCTCTATCAAAAAAAGAAAAAAAAAAAAGAAATATGACAAAATAATATAACTTCCATTGACTTTTTTTTTGACATATAATTTCATTTACTAGATACATGAACCAATCCTAAAATATGTGTTTTGCCCCTGTATTACAGATAGGTAAACTGAGGTTGAGTTATTGTATCACATGGGAAGCTGATAATTGAAACTAAGTCTGTCTAAACGTGAAGTCTTAGCCCATTTTGTTAAGTCACCCCTACCTCCCTAAGGTATGTGTATTCCTCTCTGGATTTGATTTGCTAATATTTTGTTGAGGATTTTTGCATCTAAGTTCATGAGAGATGCTGGTCTGTGATTTTCTTTTCTTGTAAAATCTTTATCTGGCTTTGGAATCAAGGTTAAACCAGCTTCATAAAATGAATTGGGAAGTATTCCCTTCTCTTCTAGTTTCTGAATAACATGGTGTAAAATTCCTGTTTTTGTTTTTGTTTTTTTTTTTTTTAAGAATTCTCCAGAAAAACCATCTCTGAAGCTTTTTAAATTACAAAGTCCATTTCTTTCATAGTTTTTGAGCTATTCAGATTGTCTGTTTCATCTGGGTTGGGTTTTGATAGGTTGCAGTATTTACAGAATTGGTTCATTCCTTTTAAGTTGTTGAATTTATGAGCATAAAGTTGTTCAAAGCATCTGCTCATCATATTTTTAGCAACTACAGGATTTGTAGTGATATCCTCTGTCTCAACTCTGAGATTGCGGTAATACGTCTTCTCTCTTCTTATTTTTGTCAGTCTTTCTAGAGATGTATCAATTTTATTGGTTTTTTTTGAAGAACAATCTTTTTGTTTTATTGATTTTTCTCTATTATTTTCCTATTTTCAATTTATTTCTGCTCCTATTTTTATTTCCTTTCTTCTGCTTGCTTTGGGTGTAATTTTCTTCTTATTTTTCTAGTTTTATGAAGTGAGAACTTCGATTATTGATTTCAGATGTTTCCTCTTCTAATGTTAGCATCTAGTGTTATAAATTTTCCTCTCAACACTGCTTTAGCTGCATCTCAGAGTTCTATGTGTTTTTAATTCCCTTTGAGACTCCTTCTTTGACCCATGAATTATTTAGAAGTATGCCATTTAACTTCCAAGTGTTTGAAGATTTTCCCATGGTCTTTCTGCCCTCTGAATTTTAGTAACTGTCTCTGATATTATTTCATTTCCATGAGAACAGGACATTATTTATTCTACCGCTACATCACTGATGATGGGAACAGAACAATAGTATGCTCTCAATAAATAAGGATGAATGAATGATTGAAATAATTTAAAAATCAAAACACAAAAAACTGAAGCTTAAAAAGGAAGAGGAGGTCATCAGAAAGTTGATGGTGAATATAAGTGGGTGGGAAAATATGGTTACCTTTTATTTTCTTTTTATTTTATATTTTCCAAATTCTCTGCAATGAGCATGTCCTGCTTTTACCATCAGGAAAAGGAATTATAACAGTGGAAGTTGCCATTGCTGATTGTTTTCACCCTCTCCCTGGCAGGTCATATCAGAATGTGAGTTGCTAAAAAATACTGAAGATGACAGGACCTCAAAGGGCCCTTAAGAAGGTCCCAGAGCTGAATTGACCCAGACCCCTCAGAAGACAGGGAAGGACCTTGCTAGTCACCCAACTTTTGTAGGCTTGTAAGATTACTGCGACAATAACTTTCTCAATGAGATCATGCACCTTTTCAGTCACAGGATCATTTTCATGTTTCTCCTCTAGGCACACAAAAGTCCTTAGAGATCTCATGAATTAGTGTTTATCCCAGGATATCTGGCTTGGCATTGTAAATAAAGCGTCCATCTGCCTAAGTCCAGCCATCAAAATTACTTGACAATTTACTCTGAGAAGCAGTATTAGCATTTGTTTTCAGGGTTCATGATGGGCAAAAGATTACTTAAAAATAGGAGGGAACAGAGAAGAGAGATCGTAGTTTTTTGGTCTTGTTTGTTTTTTTAAAAAAATATTGCCATCTCTTACATCTTTAGTCTCAGTCTCTTCATGATTTTTCAAGACAATTTCTTTGGGAAGCCAAGTGGCTGAGACAATTTGATGATAACTCAACCAACCTGCATCACTACCTAAACAGTTTTTAGGTATAGACAGTTTCTAAAGATGAGTGAACATGCTTTTCCACTTTTGAAAATACTCCTGAAAACTTGGTTTCAATTTTTTCAACAAAGTGATTGCCCAGATCTGAAAATGTTTTTTCACCCTTTTCTGCTTTTGAGGTGAGGTGATTTCCTGCAAGGTCCAGGGATTTTGGAGGGCTCAGGATAAGGCAATTTTATGAACCGATGCCTGGGGGTAGTGCAGAATGCCATGAATGGGGATGTCCCACAAAAGGCAGGGAAGCGGATGTGGCAGCAGCTATGTCCTCTTTGGAGCTGAGCCACAGAGGGCATCAGGATCAGTGAGCGGATCTTTATCAGTCTGTCCGAATCTTAAAGAATAGCCAAGGACACGAGAATCTGGAAAACAATAACATAATCAAATTGGGGGAGAATTTGATTCTCCCCCAATGAAGAATCCACATCCCAGGCACAATTCATGTCAAACAACATAGGCTATGCTGAAACCAGCCAGAAATGGGGTCTTGTAATATAAACTAGTCTGTGTCTTACAAATCATTTGATTTCTATAATTCCTGGACACTTGATTGGCTAATTTTTTTCTGTTGCTGAGTTGACTGATCTGAATTCCTAAGTCAAAAGGCATAGAATTTTTTATTCATTTAATTTGTATTGACACCCACTGTTCCATTTAATTCAAAATTATTCATTCCTCCATGGACCCCTGGTAGAGACCAACCTCAGCCACTTTGGGAGACTGCTCACCAAATGTCTCTAGTTCCCTGCTTTCTGAGCGTGTGAGGCTTCTCCTTCCCTGACTGTGACAGTTAGGCATGGCCACAAGCCCACTTTGGCCCATGAAATGTGTACAGAAGGGACACATTGGGCCAGTGAGTAATTCACTCCATACTCTCTCTTCTGTTGTAAGTGGGGATGTGTGTGTTGAGAAGACACCATCGGGGGTCCCAAACTAACTATGACACGCACACCACTCCATGTTGACCTGCAATGGACAGGTAATGTGAACAAAAGAAAATATTTATTGTATAATGCTGCTGAGATCAGGTGGTTGTTACCTGCAACGTCACCTGCCCTCTCCTCGCTGATGCGCAAGCACACACACACGCACTTGTCCATATGTTTTGTATATACGTTGTGCTGCTTGGGAAGGAGGTACTCTCTCTTTGCCACAACTCTCCCAACTGAGAATTCTCTTTTGTCCTGCCATGGGATTCCTGTGGCTAATTCACTGGATTTATTCATTTCTTGGTTGGTTTTCCATGTAAAAAGCCAAAGGAGACTTGGAACATATGTACCCCAGGGCAGTGGGTAAATCCAAGAGAGATGCAATCTCTGTCTCTAAGGGCTTACAAACTGGCTTGGCAGAAGACAGATCCAGGCAATATATAATAATGAAAACCACAAACGGGTGCTCCAGAGCAAAATGACAAGATGCTTGCATGGCAGCAGTTTTAAGAAGGAATGCATCAGGCGGGGTGCAGAGGGAATGTAAGAGCAGCTCTGGTCCCAGGTGACTCCTCTCAGCCTCTCCAGATCCACCCTTTGCCCCTCTCCACGCTGCTCTCTACCCCACGAGACTGACCTGTCTGTCCTATAGTAATAGACTGCTCCCGCTCTGGCTCTGGGCTGGGTCTGGTCAATGGGGTCTCTGATAGACTAGAAGGAAGTCGGTCAGTGAAGTTGGCATATTTATTCCTCTGTCTCTGTTCTCACAGGGTCATCTCAGGCTGGCTGCATGCCTCAGCTGAAGATCCCAGCTCCTGTCAATGCCACCTCTCCGCTTGACTGTCTCCTTCCAGACTCGGTAACTCTCTCCTGTCGGCACTTTAGGCCCAGGGGTGGTAAGAGCCCTGCACTGAGATCCCAGCTCCAGGATATCGCACCAGCCCTTTCAGTTTCCCTATGCCCTGCCCACACCTTAGTCAAGGCAGGTGTGGGCAGGATACACATTTTTTTTTAAGGGACTCCTTAAAGCATCCTAATTTGAGTGTGCTTCTGTTTCCTGATAGTCCCTGACCACTAGATCTCGCTTTAGGGAGCCAGCAGTAAAAAGGAAATGAATGCTTTTTCTAATTATAGGGTCAGTTGGTAAAAGAGGCGGAAAGCTTTTAAAAATGATTCATTCTTCATTAAGAAATGAGTTATTAAATGCCTTTGCTTCTCCCCAGCCAAAGTGAAAGATTCTTCTCTAGAGTTTTAAAAAACGTTGGAGGCCAAGTATTGGCCTCTTTGCACCTGTGATGAGCAAATGGGCTGTCCTGGAGCCTTTGTTTCCCAAAGTCCTTCACCAATACTGAGGCACAGAGGCCAGCCAGGATGTCACTTCACCACCAAGGAGCTCCCCCAATCCCCCCTTATCTGGCAAAGTTGACACCAGAATTCCAACCACTGTTTTTAACTTGAGCCCGAGAGCAGAACCTAATTTCCAGATGCTCAAGGAAAATTGTAACCCTTCTTTGGAGTTTCCGTATTTAGCATAGAGCTGCTGGAGAAGGAGGCGCTGTCTCTTTGCCATAACTCTTCCAACTAGGGATTCTCTTTTTTCCTGCAGTGGGATTCCTGTGGCTAATTCACTGGATTTAGTCATTTCTTGGTTTTCCACGTGCAAAGTCAAAGGACACTTGGGTCTGGAGGTGCTCTAGGCCCTGTCCTCTGTTCCCAATTCCCAGGGACCCTCACGCCTTAGCTGTCTCCAACTCTGGAGAGGTGCAGCCGGGAAGAGGCTGGTACCTGGAGCCCCAGCGTTTCCCAAAGCAGCTGGAAGACAGGAACACATGATTACAGCTGCTGGGACTGGATCCGGGGGGCGGGTCAGCTCAGGCATGCCAGGATATAAAGAGAGAGGAAGTGCAGACGGCAATTTGGAAGATTTAGGAGTTCTTGGGCTGTCATCGGGTTTTATGTGTTGTCATTGACATATGTTTGTCTTCTCTCCAGAGCAGGTATGAGCTGGGAAGAATGCAGGCAGGGCATGCCCGTGTGCCAGCCCTGCACAGCTGGAGAGATGAGGCAAGACGTGGAGGAGAAGCCGGGGACTGTCTGGAGGTCTAAGGGTGTTGTTTGCCCCTTGGGCTCCAGAAGATGCATGCCAGGACCTGGGGTGGCACCACCAGGAAGCAACAGAGAGGAGATAAAACTCACAGCAGACAGATTTGCCTTAACAACAACTGTCTTGAATTAAAACACGCTTTTCAAGAAAACAAATATCAGTTCAATCAGCAAATAGCAGAGAAGTTTCTCATCATAAAGGCAAAGAAGGGCCCAGTTGCTGACCAGTGTAAGAGCTTCAGAAGAGGAGAGGGGAGATGAGATGGCCAGAAGGAGCAAGAGCACCATACATCCCTGGACAACCTCATTCTAATGGGTCAGGAACTGGGACGTGCGTTTTGGAGTGCAGGAGAAGTGGCAACTCACAAATGCTAGATTTTCTTCCAGAGATGACCAAGCTGTAGTTCTCAAAGCAGTGGCACTAGGACAGAAAACTCTCACACTTTGACATGCACACACAGCCCCTGGGGATCTCGTTAACATGTAGATTCTGATTCCATAGGTCGGGCTGAAATTCTGCATTTCCAACAAGCTCCTAGATGAGGTCCATTTTGCTGGTCCATGAATCACACTTAGGATAAGTAGCAAGGCATAGGAGGATACTGACTTTCCTCAGTGATGCTTGTGCTTCCCTCCAAACTAAAATAAAACAAAAGCAGATATCAATGGCCCAATTCAACAGCCTGAGAATTTTGGTGATAATGACCCAAGCCCTGGCCTGGTGACCAGGTGGCTGCTCAGGGAGCTCCATCTCCAAATTCCTTCCCTTCCTGCCTCCCCTCCAAGAGTGAGTAATGTGCCAGAGTTCACTGGGGTCTGCTGTTCCCAGGGAAAGGTGGCCCAGTCACCAAGTGCAAGTGTATAGAATGGCTCACCTGTGCAAAGCTATCAGCCCTGGACCTATGGGCCTAGAAACATGACTTGCCACTCACTATCATTCATTCATTTCTGCAACAAACGCTTCCTGAGCACATGCTGTCCACCAGGCCCTGAGCTCATCTCTGGGGATACAGGATGGACGGCAGATTGTGCTCCCAGTCAGCCTGCTGGAGCACATATGAAAAGCAATACGGATGTTTTGATTTATTATCATATTTATCATTATGATGGTAGCTTTTACTTTCGGAAGGCCTGCCGTCCATTAGCCATTGTGCTAAGCACATGATATGGGTAATCTCATCAATCCTCACAACAACCTATGTGGCAGCTACTATTATTAAACCCACTTCAAAGAGGAGGGAACTGAACCTCAGAGAGGGTAAGTAACTTGCACAAGGACACCAGCTAGTCCGAGGAGAGGAACTAGGAGGAATGGCCAGGCAGGCTGTCAGCCTCTGTCCCCACGTGCTCCGTCTGAGTGTCTGCTGGTGGGCACATTCCCTCCCTGGAGGGAGAGCTCCTGGGAGCTGATGGCAGCACTGAGTGAGTCTGGAATGTGATGGGAGTGCATTAGATGACGTGGGTGATCTGATGAGTACAGAGGTGTCACATTGCAATGACTTCATGCATATATCTCCCCTGAATGGACAGAGATTCAGCAGAGGCCAGGAGCATGAGTTTCTGGCCCAGTGTCCCCCTCTTTCCCCTGCAGAAAGCCAGGGACACACTGCTTGGCTTTGCTACACCTTGCTAGGCAAAGGCAGTATATTCTCCCTCTCCTTGGCCTCCCTGGCTGTCCACACATCCACACCCACTCACACACATGTGCACATGATCATACACATTACCCAAGCCCACATGCCCACAGACATGCTCACACTCACACATGCACGTGATCATACACATTACCCAAGCCCATATGCCCACAGACATGCTCACACTCACACTCACATGCACGTGATCATACACATTACCCAAGCCCACATGCCCACAGACATGCTCACACTCACACACTAGATGTGTATAAGAGACAGTGATCATACACATTACCCAGGCCCACATGCCCACAGACATGCTCACACTCACACTCACATACGTGATCATACACATTACCCAAGCCCACATGCCCACAGACATGCTCACACTCACATTCACATGCATACACTGCCATGCACAACACACATACATACATTCACACACACTCGCCCACGCACGCGCACGCACACACACACACACACACACACACTCTTCTGATGGCCAGTCTTTTGGGGGTATGTTGACACTGCGAAACAGGTGAAACAAAGTCTTTGCCAATCCCTGCTTTGGGCCTATTATGCTTGTTTTATAGTTTAACTCTCAAAAGACAACTTTATTTTCCAGAATCTTTCAGGTTCCCAGCCAGGCGCAGTGGCTCACACCTGTAATCCCAGTACTTTGGGAGGCCAAGGCGGGCAGATCACCTGAGGTCAGAAGTTTGAGACCAGCCTGGCTAACATGGCGAAACCCAGTCTCTACTAAAAATACAAAAATTAGCCAGGCGTGGTGGCACACACATGTAATCCCAGCTACTCAGGAGGCTGAGGCAAGAGAATCACTTGAACCCGGGAGGTGGAGTTTGCAGTGAGCCAAGATCATGCCACTGCACTCCAGCCTGGGCAACAGAGGAAGACTCCATCTCAAAAAACAAAAGCAAAATCATTCAGGTTCCCTAGGGGCCCCTCACTGTGTCCTGGATTCCATTCCACTTTTAGAGTCCCAAACAGCTTGTATGGCCACTTCCCTTGACACCCAAACCAGACAGGAGCCTTAAATGGCACAGAGTCTTGATGGTTCCTTTAAAAGGAAATCCACTCTCAGTGGGAAGTTGGATAACTTCGCATCCGGATTTCATCCTTCTTGGGCTTTGGTGGCTGCTGTTTGTTTTTTGTGCAGGAGAATCTCTCCTAGCCAACGTCGATTTCACTAACACAGTGGTTAACCTTTGCTGTCTACTCTTGCATCAATCTGCCGCCTACCTCATGCTGAGCCACGCTGCTTGCTGGCATTCCTTTTGGATTTTCAATTTACTACCCAACTACCAGTCCTAATAACATCAGATAAAAAGGCTTCTGCTGTGCTGCGCTTGTGTTCAAAAACTAGGAATGCCATCAACCCAGAGTTGAGTCCAGCCTCAGAGAGACAGAATATAAATACCCAAGTGGCCCTGGGCCACTGAGTTCCTCAGACATTATGTGCTATGGGAGTTCCAGAAAGGGGGATTGCATGATTTTGAGTGCAGAAGGCTTCCTGGAGGAGGCGAGATTTCTGATGGGCCTCTGTTATGAGCTAAATTGAGTCCATCCCAAAATTCAGATGTTCAAACCCTAACCTGTAGTACCTAAGAATGTGATCTTATTTGGAAGTAGATGCATAGCAGAGGTAATTCGTTCAGATTAGGTCATAGTGGAAGAGGGTGGACCCCAATCCGATATAACTTGTGTCCTTATAAAAAGCAGAAATTTGAAGACAGACACACAAGAAGATGAAGACAGAGACCGGGCTGATGCAGCTACAAGCCAAGGAACGCCAAAGATTGCCAGCAAAGCACCAGAGCCAGGGAGAGACCTCAAACAAATTCTCCCTCCCAGCAAAAAGGAGGAAGGAAGGAACCTCCAAAAGAAGCAGGCCAGGCACGGTGACTCACACCTGTAATCCCGGCACTTTGGGAGGTTAATGCAGGCGAATCACCTGAGGTCCGGAGTTCGAGACCAGCCTGGCCAACATGGGGAAACCTCATCTCTACAGAAAAATACAAAAAGTAGCCAGGTGTAGTGGCGTGCACCTGTAGTCCCAGCTGCTCAGGAGGCTGAGGCAAGAGAATCGCTTGAATCCAGGAGGCGGAGGTTGCAGTGAGCTAAGATCGCGCCGTTGCACGCCAGCCTAGGCGACAGAGCGAGACTTCATCCCACAAAACAAAAAAGAACCCTGCTGACACCTGGATTTCAGACTTCCAGCCTCCAGAACTGTGAGATATTACATTTCTGTCATTTAAACACCCAGTTTGTAGTACTTTGTTACAATAGCCCTAGTGAGCTAATACAGCCTTGAAGGACAGGTAGGAATTTGTGATGCACAGAGAAAGCAAACTGGCCACGGTTGTTGAAATTAATAGAATCGAAGTGCCCCGATCACTACCAACCCAGGCCATCACTTACAAAGCTGTTCAACGTGATGCAGCCGCATGAGAAGGTCGGAGGGCCAGGGCAGGAGATGGGCTCCAGGTGGGCCTGGGCTACCTGCAGAGCCAGCCTGCCCTGCTGCCTAGTTGCCAAGGAGCACCTGTGGCTAGGAGGAGGCACCCAGGAAGAAAATTTGGCCACATCCCTGCCTGCCTCCCTGGCCGTGGGTGATGCTCTCTGCCAGCTGGCCCGGCTCCCCCACCACATACCTGGCTGGGAGTCAGTAGGAAAACAGTGTGTGTTTGTAGGGCTCTGCACTGAAGGGCATTAGATTCATGCAAAGGCTAATAAATTAGAGATAAGCGGGATTTGTCGATTTGCTGGAGGTTAGAGCTGCAGGATCAGCGTCAGCGCTGGGTCTTTTCCATGGCCCCAGGCTGGCTCAGGTGTGAGCTGAAGAGGGAAAAATGTCTGTTTAGGTTGCATTGGGTTCCCCTAAAAGATCTGTTGAAGTCCTAACCTCGGGTACCTCTGTGCTATTTGGAAACAGGCTCTTTGCAGATGTAATCAAGGAAAGATGAGGCAACACTGGACTTAGTCAGGCCCTAATCCAGGGACTGGTGTCCTCATAAGACAAGAGAAATCTGGACACAGACACACAAAGAGGAGAAAGCCATTCAAAGACACAGAGACACACGTACACAGGGAGAACGCCATGAGACAACGCAGACACAGATCGGAGTGACACAGCTGCAAACCAAGGAGCGCCAAGATTGCCAGCAACCCCCCAGGGCTGGAAGAGGCAAGAAGGAGCCTCCCCTAGAGCCTTCGGAGGGGACATGCACTGCTGACGCCTTGATTCCAGACTTCTGACCTCCGGAAGCATGGGAGAACAGATTTCCCTTGTTTGAAGGCACCCAGTTTGTGGTCCTTCATCATGGCAGCCCTCAGGAATGGATACAGGCCCTTCCCTGCCTGCCTGGTGGAGCAGCCTCCATGGGGAGCCTTTGCCAGCAGGAAGAGGCCCCACATGGAGCTCAGACCCACCTCAGAGGAACTTCTCTCAGCACTTAGCCAGGGCCTGGCAGATCAAGGGTAGGTGGTCTAGGTTGATTGA